TGTTCTGCTCTAAAAGTTGTTTGAATGCCACCCATTACTTCAAGGAAGGGAGTGGAGTAAGGGGGAAATGTGACTTTTAAAGCATTTCAGTAACAAAGGGAAAAAGCATGAGCTAGACCTCGTCACCTGAATTTTGCTGGTTTCTTACTCAGGGGCACCCTCCTCATGTCCCCAGGTTTCAAAATGTTTGGGGGAGGGAAAAACACATAGGAGAGAATGTGATTACTATTTTCCCACTCCAAAATAGTAATGCCTGCCATTGCAAGAGAACAACTGCACCTATTGTTTCAAGATTCATTCCCTCAGAAGAGGCAGTCAGGCCTGCAACGTGCATCCAATTCTGTCAGAAAAAAAGTTAAAGACTTTTTAAAAGTATTTTAAATTCCCTTGCATGCTAACACCTGAATGCATCTGCTTACAATTTGGCAGATGTTTGATCAGATAGTAGGAGGGGCTGAGCTGGAGAAGTAGGCAGCAGAGGTGGAGTCAGATTGTGAGGGCATTGTCACTGAGAATTAGGTGCTACCTCCAGAAATAAGATCAGATGCATCTATTCTGGTGAACCACACATCTCAGTGTGCAGGGGTCTTGTCAGGTGTGGTGAAACCCCCCCCCCCAATAGATCCTATATAACCACCATGGGTTAAAAAGCAGAGACATCACTCTGCTTAAAAAGCAGAGACATCACCTTGCCAACAAAGGTCCGTATAGTTAAAGCTATGGTTTTCCCAGTAGTGATGTATGGAAGTGAGAGCTGGACCATAAAGAAGGCTTTATGGATAGTGTTCTTGAAGCTACCAGCATGAATTTGACTAAACTGCGGGAGGCAGTGGAAGACAGAAGTGCCTGGCGTGCTCTGGTCCATGGGGTCACGAAGAGTCGAACACAACTAAATGACTAAACAACCACCACCATGGGTTATCTTTTGGGTTTTGTGTGAGGGTAAACTTAGATACTTGGAACTAAAAATGGGGTACAACACCTTTTTATTTTCTTCATTTGTTGAAAAGCTATGACAAAGAAACAGCTAATTAAGCCATTCACCTATAATTGGATAGATAACATCTTCAGTTCTCATCCCAGCATTGAATAGGCTCATATTACAGCTGCACTATCCATTCATGTAGAATATTCAATCCATGGCACCCATCTCCCTTTGTTTTTAAAGAACATGGACGTCAGAGTCAGTTCTGAATGCACTGAGATAACATCCAAGTGATGCCTTCAACTCAACATCCTGACCTTCTAGGCTGTCAATATGCTAGGCTTAAGTCAGTCTTCAATGAAGAGAGAGAGAGAGAGGAAAAAAAAATCATTATGAATGGGGACAGTGTGTTCACTGCCATTGGGTGACTCAGTCACTGTGCTACAGCATGCTGAATGGATAGGGTCATTATCTAAGCCTCTGTTGCCATTAAGTGCTGGGAAATGATCCATCCCACAGATCACTCATTTGTGGATCTGCACAGCTGACTCACAGCGTAAACTGAGCATTCAATTAGGATGTCAAAATAGGAGTTTCCACCAATTCTCGAAGGGAGCAAAATTAGCAGGCAAATGCAGAGCCTCCTTTTGCTTGGCTTTCAGTAAATTGCTGTCAGGGGCTGGTGAGGCTCCGAGGAGTGAGTGGAAGAGGAAGCAGGGCCAGAGGCTGATCCAGGAGAAGGGGATAGTGTTTTATGGGGTTTTGTGACTCCCACTAGGCAGGAGCCAGAACTGGAGGATGAGGAGGGGTCCGAGCAGTTGGAGATGAGGGAGGACATGGGGCTGGAGCTGGAGAAAGGACAGGATGCACCAGGATCAGAGGGAGAATCAGTGTACAAATGTAGGGGCCTGGAAGAACCCCCTCTGTCCTCTCCCCGGACTGGGAAGCAGGCACAGCAACAACTTCTGTATAGGAGAAGTCAAGGGTGCTTACTCTTGCAACATCAGACGAGTTTGGCTGTAGGCATGTCCACACCATTGTTCCAAAAGTCCAGCTTGGAATCCAAGCCCAGAGAGGGACACCAGCTTTCCCGAAGCATTTGTGTACGTGCTTGGTGCACCTTAGGAGCTACTGTAAGTTAATGCTTGGTCAACAATTAGTTGGACTACCAGCCATTTGTCTTCCTTGGGCTGGGTGTGCTCAAGAAAACTACAACCAGGGGACTGGTCCTGGCTGCCAGCTTCCTCCTCCTTAGTTATAAAGGTATAGGTAAAGGACCCCTGACAGTTAAGTCCAGTTGCGAACGACTCTGGGGTTGCAGCGCTCATCTCGCTTTACTGGCCAAGGGAGCTGACGCTTGTCCGCAGACAGTTTTTCCAGGTCATGTGGCCAGCATGACTAAGCTGCTTCTGGCGAAACCAGAGCAGCACATAGAAACGCCGTTTACCTTCCTGCTGGAGTGGTACCTATTTATCTACTTGCACTTTGACGTGCTTTCGAACTGCTAGGTTGGCAGGAGCTGGGACCAAGCCACAGGAGCTCACCCCATTGCGGGGATTCAAACTGCCAACCTTCCAATCGGCTAGCCCTAGGCTCAGTGGTTTAGACCAGTGTTTCCCAACCTTGGGCCTCTAGCTGTTTTTGGACTACAATTCCCATCATCCTTGACCACTGGTCTTGCTAGCGAGGGATGATGGGAGTTGTAGTCCAAAAACAGCTGGAGGCCCAAGGTTGGGGAACACTGGTTTAGACCACAGCACTACCTGCGTCCCTCTCCTTAGTTATGGTGTTGCCCTTATAGATCTCTTCAGGGAGGAGGATGGAGAGAAAACTAGAATTACTTGACTCTGCCTGTCCTTGGCTCTGGCTCCATCTGCTGTTGGTCTCCCTGCCTTCTGCCCTATCCTTCTCAATGGACTCTGTCTCCTCACCTACGCCGAATGATATTTTTGAATTCTAAACCCAAGTATGCAGAAAGCCAGTGACTGGCTGAGTTGATGAATGTGGCATATGTGTGAGGAAGGTCTGTCTATTCTATTGCCTCAGAATAACGAGTGTGAACAGCTCCATTGCTAAGTGTGTCCTTTGAGACATGTGATATTAGAGGTCAGTTCATGCAATTTGCTATTCACAATAAACCTTATGCCACAATAAATCCATCAGTTTTGCACTCATTGCTAAGGAATCTCCCACCCGCCATTTCCCATCTCCCTTCGTAATTTGAACTCCTCATGTTAACTTTTTTATATGGCTTTCATTGAATTTTTTTTTGTAAAGTTGCTGTGAACTGCATATATATATATATATATATATATATATATATATGACATGACGAGATGAATTGGCAATATAAAAATATTTTTTTATATATTCTTATAAAGGCTTGTTTACAATAAATTCATTTTTAAAAAAGAAAGAAAAGAGAAGAGAAAAATTGTTGGGCGTTTGTCACCACCAAAGGGAAACAGAAGGAACAGCCCTATGTTAAATTATTCCCTTGAATGGGTTTCCAAATTGAAATCACCAACATAGCAAGTGCAGAGTTGTTACGACACAGGGATCCATTTGAAATGATTTTCAGACTGGAATAAGACCATACGGTTCCATTGATTTTGAGGGCGGAAACCTAGTCATGTAGATAATACTATGCAGATGGGACCTTGGCTTTAGGGACTCGTGCCAAGGCCTTGTCTGCTCTTGGCCACCCTGAGAGCCAAATGCCTCCTGATTAAAATGTGCATGGATGGCAAACATTGCTAGCAGAAAACCTTACACCCAAATATTTATTATCCCTTAGCAAGGGATAGTGCTGCTGATGCTGCCATATGGCTGGCCTGCTTTTTCTAGAAGTCCAGAACATCATGCTCCATCCTTCTATGACCTGTCAATGTAACTGAAGTTTAGGAAAACTTCAAAGCCCAGTTTGATGTTTGGTGTGGCAAATGGGTGCCAGAAAGAATTAGGGAGGAAACATGGGAAGCTGCCTTATACAGCGTCAGACCGCTGGTCCATCTAATTCAATATTGACTACATTGATCCTCAAGATCTCCACAAGATTTCAAGCAGGGGATGGGGTTCCTCCCAGCCTTACCTGGAGCTGCCAGAGATTGACCCTGGGATCTTCTGGATGCAAGACCAGATGCTCTACCTCTGAGCTGTGGCCATTTCCCATATGAGTCAGGTGAGTGGTCCATTTAGTCTAGTGTTGTCTGCTCTGCCTTAGAGAAGCACTTCCTTCCACTCCTTCCACAGAGGAAGATTGATTGGCCTGCTCTTCACATAAAATTTATGCTGTGCCATTGAGCTAAAGCGCCTCCCTGCACATTGTTTGGCAAATAACAATCCCTCAAGAAACTCACAATTAGGCAGCTGATGTGTCTGTGTCCTGGGGTCTCTGTGGAGATTTGGCAAGTCATAATTGATGGGTTGATGGACTATGTTTGGGGGATCTGTGGCTTGAAGAGATGCCCTATTTGCAGTGTCTCAGGGTTTGGGGTTTGTTGTTAACTTTCTCCAGCAATTTACAGCTTGGCTCGTTCTGACGAGTCATTTCTGATTCTTCCAGTGGATCCGTTTGTGACAATCTGTGGTTCCATAGATTGATTTGTAGGAAACTGTGAAATGGAAACTGTGGAACAGAGTGTTTCTTCATAGCTCAGGGTTGCATTAGTTGGCTTTATGTTCCTGACTCTGTATCAGGACCTCACTGCATGAGACCAGTTACATCAGTGATTTGCCATGTAGGGCAGTCTACTCAAGAGAATTGATTTTCCTGCCTGCATGGCCTGTAAAAATAGGACAGTTGTCAAGCACCTGGTATGTGGTTGGTAAGCTACATTTTGCTTGTTGAACCACAAATTGTGCAGGTCTGTTCTGCATCCATACCTAATATGTAGAAAGGAAAAAAAATAAGTAGGGAAGTGTAACATGAGCTGGTGGGAACTGTGTGATGATAATTTCCTAGCTTCTTCATCTATTCCTCCAGATGATGAGGAGGAAAAAATAACATGCATAGAACTGGATGCAAGCGGAAACCTTTCTTGCAAAAGACACTGATGTTTTCACTGAGATGCAGTCAATGCTGTACCGTGCACCATTTAATAGGTAGTTTGTGATTTTGATTATGCCCACTTCCTGCCCGTTTTCTTTCTTTACTGTTAATTTCTTCTTCTTCTTCAAATCTCTTCTTGTGAGTTCTGAAAAGCTGAAATATTGCAGTCAGGACCCCTGCTCTGTTGGCTTGCCGGGATCTTTGCAGCTTGGGGGAAAAGGCTGCTTTTTGTCTGCACTGAATAACATCATTTGTCTCCTTAACGGTAACATACTTTATCTTAGCAGTGCCGTTTGTTTTCTTAACGGCAATCATTTTGCTCTTCTTCTCCGGCATCTTTCAATGAAAGGCTCTAAAGATTTGGTAGAGGGAGTTATTCATTCCAGAAATGGAATGGAATGCTCTTTCTTATTTTGGGTATGGAATAATGCATAAAGGATAATTATAGGGAGAGATTGCAGCTTGGGAGAGAAAGGAAAGTATTGTTATTTATAGGTGTGCCCTAATGCACAGGTGTGGGAGATGAAGCAGGTTTTCTCTGTTACGAGCATTTTGAAGGTTTCTCTCCAAACTTTTTGGATAGTATAGCTGCTCCCTGTGCAATAGGATATGGTCAGGGCTGAGCGCCCAGGTATAATAGTTTAAACTGGATAGTGCTGTATTTTAATGACTGTCTGCTTTGAGGTTTGTGGTGTGTCATCTTGGCCTCTGAAAATCTGGGATTCTTGGTACTTGTGTGAGGTTGTGTGGAGGTGTTGGTTTGTTGAAGGAGCTGTGAGCGGATGTGGGGGTTGGAGATGTAAAAAAAATGTGGAGGGTTGAAGGGGTTGGGTGAGGTGTAAAGGGAGGGGATGGCAAGGCGTTTGGAGGTTGGCAAGGGAGGTGGGGTTGGCAGGAGATGGGGTAGGCAGGATGGGGAGCAATGCCAGCAAAGGCAGCAGCCCCTAGGTAAAGGTAAAGGGACCCCTGACCATTAGGTCCAGTCGTGACCTTCTTTGGGGTTGCGGCGTTAATCTCACTTTATTGGCCAATAAAGTAGGCATACAGCTTCTAGGTCATGTGGCCAGCATGACTAAGCCGCTTCTGGCGATCTAGAGCAGTGCATGGAAACAACGTTTACCTTCCCGCTGGAGTGGTACCTATTTATCTACTTGCACTTTGACGTGCTTTCGAACTGCTAGGTTGGCAGGAGCAGGGACCGAGCAAAGGGAGCTTACCCCGTCGTGGGGATTCGAACTACCGACCTTCTGATCGGCAAGTCCTAGGCTCTGTGGTTTAACCCACAGCACCACCTACGTCCCATAGAGCAGCCCCTAGTCCATATCAATATCAATACCTATCTATCTACTAAAAGCTCATCCAGACTTCCTTTTATGCCACATTCCTAGGCACAAGTCTGTGCTTTCAAAGCCCCATATCCAAGCACTTTATTATGGTTATTTTTGCCCCAGTGCTTTCCCTGTGAAAACCTGCTCTTTACCCCTGAGTCAGAGCAAACAGCAACCTGCAGAAAACCTCACTTGCCATTTATTCCGATTCAGCATTAAAGAACGGGTTTTCCTGGGGAAAGCAGCAGGGAATAGAGAAAGTGCTCAGACACGGAGCTTATGCCTAGAAAATGCGGGGCAAAAGATAAGTGTGACAAGCCCTAAGCTAGGGTTTTCCCGAAAAGGCGGTATATCAGCATGGATTTGTTGAGCAAATATGTGTGTGGAAATAATGAAAAAAAATATTATATAAGTTATACACATTGTAGACAGTTAAGTTAGGAAGAAACAGTACATTGTAGATTATGGACAGACTATCCAACCCGCTAATTCTTTAAGCCACATATAAGCCCATTTACTCCAAAACATAATGAGCCTTGCCACAACCTTTTGAAGCTAGTCAATGAGTGACGAGACTCTTAAACATAGACGATTCAAAACTAATGCTTCTTCAAAGAAATGCAAAATGAAACAAAGAAGCTGCCTTGATTTCATCCATTGTGATATTCCGTCGCTGTTGTCTGACATGGCACCTTCCTCTCTCGGCTTCTGCCTCATTTAATTAAAAAATCACACTAATACTACTGTTTCCTTGAGCTAATTTTTACAGATGATACCTAAACAAACAAACAAAAGCATTTCTTTAAAGGTGTGTCCAGACTGTGACTCAGCAAAATCTGTGAAACCTGACAAATCCTTGAAACCTGGGCTGGCAAATCTACAGTTGCTACTTGATTCTACCGAAAAAACATTAAGGAAAGTCAGTGTGGGTTCCATGAAGCTGGCAAAGCTGTGGAAAGTTGCAGTTAGATTTGCAGATTAGTTTTGTGCTGATTGGCTTGGCTTGTGATCTCAGTTAACTGTATTGTAAAAATGTATTGTGTGTACACCAAACAATGTAAACACACACACACACAAACTCCCCTTTCCAGCCTAATGACACCCTGCCTCTCATATTCTCAGGAGACACTCTGCTTTATGATTTTTCTGCGTGAGTTTACCTGAGCCGAACCTTTGGAACTACCGCTCCCAAAGAGCCACGAAACCAAAGCTCACTTCCAGTTTTACTCTGGGAGATCTATGTAGCCTCTTGTGCTACGGTGCAGCAGGGGGCAGGCTTAGGAGACAGCTGACCTTCTGCTGCCGGGGCTGTACCAGTGCGTCCCATCTCATCCCCCTTGTGTAAACGCAGTCTTCAGCTCCAGCAAATACAGCAGCACACAATTTATCCATGTATCATTAAGATAATTGATATTTATTAGTCCCCTGGTAATTTTCCGCTTTTTGTTTTTGGGTGTTGGGGATAAATCACAGCTGCAACAGGCACAGAGCATGCGTTTTGTGTCTATTATGTTGTCTTGATAAGGCTAGCCGGTGTTGTTCACCTTCCCAATGTGATTCATTGAGATTGATTGAAGCGCCGGGCTTGTCCTAGCCATGGTGCAGTGTAATTAATGTCTCCTTACGCTAATATATGCGAATTCGGGAGTGTGCATTGGACTTGGGAGGATGGAAAGAACAAATAAGGATTCAAGCAGGCTTCTTCAGTCTCGGCCCTCCAGATGTTTTTGGCCTACAACTCCCATGATCCCTAGCTAGCAGGACCAGTGGGCAGGGATGATGGGAATTGTAGTCTCAAAACATCTGGAGGGCCGAGGTTGAGGAAGCCTGGATTAAAGAGTTCACTCCAAAGTACAAATCAAATTTCTGCCTCACTAAATTCCCCCGCTACCCTGAAGAAGGAAATAACCCATCAGAGGCATGACCCAACGCAAAGATTGTGCCTGAATGGGACTCCATTTCTTTTACGTTGTGCGACATCACAAGATTTGAATTGTGATGTGCTGCTAAGTTGATGAAGTGCTGTGTCTGGGTATATTTAAAGAGAAAAATCTGGATAACTAAGAGGATCAACGCTCTGCAACTGGAGCTTAAGTGGGGGAAGCATACTGATTTTCCTCTTGCTGCCCTGCTCCCACATTAACTTTCGTCTCAGGTAAACTGTCTCTTGGATTTAAATGCTTCCATCCCAGACTAAACACTTCTCGACCCTTTTGACAGATGTGGATCAAAGAAACGCTGGGAATCCATCCCCTTCTTTTAAATTCTCATGGCCTTAAAGTGGCCTACAACAACCTAGTGTCTTCATTCTTTGTCTGGCTCCTTCCCTTTGACCTTACAACCTTGGGTGACCCTGCTGGGAGTACGAGATTCCCAACGGCTTCACTCACAAGGGTCATAGGAACATGCAAGCCCACTCACCACGACAGTGGTGATGATCCAGTGAGTTGGAAGAAGAAGTGTCTTCCAGATGATTTGGAGTACAAATCCCACCAGCACCACCCTATGTGGCCATGCTGATGGGGGATGACAGAAATTGTACACCAGAACATCTGTAGACACCAGACTGACAACAGCTGCCTTCATATCTTGAAGCTTCCATTCTTTCATTTCTTCCTGCACTGCATACTCTGGCATACAAAGATTCTCTAAGTCAGGCTTCCTCAACCTCGGCCGTCCCGATGTTTTGAGACTACAGTTCCCATCATCCCTGACCACTGGTTCTGCTAGCTAGGGATCATGGGAGTTGTAGGCCAAAAACATCTGAAGGGCCGAGGTTGAGGAAGCCTGCTGTAAGTTCTTAGGCAGGGATCTTTCCCAGTTCTGCTCCCTAAGACCCTTTAAAATTGAAGACCTCATAGGACCATAGGAGACCTCCTTATACTGAGTCAGACTGTTTATCCATCCAGCTTACTATTGGCAACTGCTCTCCAGCATTCCAGGCAGGATTCTCTCCCAGCCCTACCTAGAGATCTCAGGGAGTGGAACACAGACCTTCTGCATTCAAAGCAGATTCTTGGCCACTGAGCTACGTCCTCCAAGGTTTTTGCTGTTAGCCTCTGTGGCGCCCTATCTGTCAAGAGCCACGTTGTTCTGTTTAGCATCATAGTAGCGAAGGCGCACATAATTGCACCAGGCCATACCCAATGCAATGTTTGATTGCACAACGTGTCTTAGTGGACAGATGGTAGCTGTAGCCTTATTGTCTCCTGTTGCAAAGTTCCTCTCATTGGGCACATGATCAAGGATTGTTCTTCAATCATCCAGTCATGCCACTTTGAACCCATGAGAGGAAGGAATGGAGCATGGAATTTGCTGCCAAGGAGTGTGGTGGAGTCTCCTTCTTTGGAGGTCTTTAAGCAGAGGCTTGACAACCATATGTCAGGAGTGCTCTGATGGTGTTTCCTGCTTGGCAGGGGGTTGGACTCGATGGCCCTTGTGGTCTCTTCCAACTCTATGATTCTATGATTCTATGATAAGAAAGGAAGATCCATTCAGGTCAATCTGGAAATGCATTTATCAGGCTGCATTGATCCTTGATAGCAGCCTCATGCATCCAAGATAACCATAGATTTCAGGTAATAAACCTGCATGTTTTGTTGTGCTTATTGATTGTCTGAATTACCCCATGTTTTCGCATTATCAGGACATAGGTACATTAATTTGTTTAAATGTAACAAAGCTTCACAGTTGGCTTTTGCCTAGCTAGCACTTGAGGCTGCTAGCTATTTGCTGTTTTATACAAGTAGCATGGATAGGATTGGAACCTAAATGTTTCAATGTGAGAGTTGCAGCAAATGTGAGATTGCTAATCCATGCACTGGGGCTCTGCATCCGGTCTAGGTGAATCTTGGAGGCTGGAGCAAATAGGACTGATCCCAGCCATTCCAGGATTTGTCTGGAGCAGGTTAAGGCTGCCCTGGATTGGATCAGACCCACCTGGGGCAATCTGGAGCTGTCAAACAGGGAGGCGTTAGGTATTAAATATGCAGTCAGGAGAGAAAGAAG